ATGGTAAAGGGGAATAATGGTAATGGGATGAAAGGTAAGGGAATAATTTATTTGTGGTGGCTCTCACACCATGGACCTGCCTTCGGGCAGCACTACCATTTATTATTATTATTATTATTATGTTTAAGTAGAAAAGATATATTCATAGAAATAAAAAAAATCAGAAACAACGTTGTATATACCTATATACCAATGTTCTAATTTAATCATTATAAAACAATATACACTTGCTACATAAAAATTAAGCACATCATAGACCCAATAAATCCCTTACTTTCAGTAATAAGACCTTGTCTCCACCATCGGTTCAAATCCAAGAAGAGTAGGACCTCTGAATCAACCCCTTGACGACAAAACACTCTGGGGTTGTTGGGGTTGCCTTTATATGTCGTCGAGAGCACGTTATACCATGAACCCTTACAGAGTCAACGAAATGGACCCTTCTTTATGCGATCCTTTCACAGTTCAATATGAAGAGATATGCCAGAGTACGTGAGTGACACACTGACGGATAACTAGAAAACATTTACCGGTTCAAAAACTCGGGGAATTTGATTTGATTGATTTTTAAAACTTTTTTCTGAATGCGATGTACAATGAAAAGTTTTAAATATACTGATTTTCCATCCATTAAAGAGCTACTAGAAATGGCAACAATTCTCAATTATAATGTGAGAGGTGTTTCAGTAAAAGCTACTATGTTCTGGCATGAAGGCCTAATATCTTTATAATTATATGAAAATAATAAATAAACATTATATTTAGCTTAAGCATGTGGAATATCACAAGCATTTTATAATGTCAAGTATATTTTTTGGATATAATAATAGGTTATTTATTGAGTCATACTAATATTTTAAAGAAGCTTTAAACATCTGTTTTCATAGGCAAAATGAAGGCTATATAATTATTTTCGCATTTGCAAAAACGAACAATTCAGTCGCAGGTGAATTTGCACAATTATAAATATTTTATACAGTAAATGAAATGTCAGGGAAATGAAGATGAAATATCGGCGTGACTCCATTCCAACGACTCTAGAAGTCGAATGCACTTTATATGCATGACACCACAGATTATTACCAAGTTACCAAAGTCACAACATAAATCAACGATATATACTGATATTATTTTTTATCATTATCATAAACGTTGCCAATTTTATGCCAAAAATTGCGCGAACTTGAATAAATGTATTTTCTATAGATGTACGAAATCAATATGTACTTGAGCTATTCTTATTCTCTTGGCAAAGCAGGGTATTTTTATTTCAGTTACTCTATTTCCGTACCAACATTGAAATTCCACATTATATTAATATATCCGGCATGTGTATAATATTTATCATGATATATGATAAGGAATAGTCGATTGATTGAGAGGATTAGAGGAACAAATATTAATGACAGTAAAATATAGTTGAGTCAAAAAAAGCTAACTCAATGTTGTTTTCAGTTAACACTAGGTAGCATAGTCTAAAAATAAAAAAAAATTATATTTATCCAACTAAATTAATTTTGCAATGTTTCTTTGAAATCGAATCGAATGTCAATAGCAATAAAAAAAAGAATTGGAAACCGTTTACAACATGTCGTGGCGTTTTATTTAGATCACTGAGCCAAAAATGTTATACGTTTATGAATACATGTTGAATATGTTGCAGCTCACTCATATGACAACTCATATTATCTGCAAACCGCCGATGCCATAAAAACGAATATATTAACAAATTTCTGGCACATAATCAGCAATATACAACACATGTTATTAACATATTCTCAAGAATATCGTTTTGCAATCAGTGAACACTAGCGCCAAATCCATTTAGCCACCGAGTCTATAATAGTTTATTTCATATTTCATATTCTGGATCCGGGCCAAACGACGCCGACGGTTTCGAGCTTTAACGACAAGTGTTATGGCAGCGCCAATACACAACTCAAAAACATTAAAATATATTTTCCACGGTTTACAAGCGTAATCAATCGGAGATTGCTACATTAAATGTGTTATATTCTCACTTTGTTGTGGTACATATTTATATTAATGGCTTGAGTAATATTTTAAAATAACTGGCAACAGATCACTACGAGCTGTTTGATCTAAAAGTATTTTAATAAATGTAAAAATAGAGATGTTTTATTTATAGTGGGATAGAAAATATTTTTAAAGTGAATCACGTTCTCTGACACTAGCTGTAGATAATTAAATGAATTATATGGTCTCCCCGCAAATTGCTGCTAAATTAAATACACTTCTATATTTATCTATTTACTTAATAATTTGAATTGTCAAAATTCTGCCAATATATATATATATAACTTGACACCCCTAAACGTTCGAGGCTCCATCATTCCTGAACAATCTAGGGTCCATGAAGTCAAAGGTGAATTTTCGTGTTCTACCAATTTTGTACAAAATCAACTAACCACTGCATAAACAAATCGCACACGGAAGATCCGACCCAACTCACAATATTGCCAATGATAAACACAATGACGGTTATAATAAACCAAATAATATCTGTACTGCAATCGCCAGGTGTGCTCATACACCGATCACGATAAACCGCTACAGTACGGGGTGTTAGTATTATACGGGTCCGGCTGAATACACCTCTCTCGTAAAAAGTAATTGTGAATGACTGAGAATTTATTTCCCCTTATAATATTCATATAATTCGTCATTATATGATGCACCCAGCGCTAACTCGAAATCGACGAGGGCTGTCGTCCCTAAACTGTTGTTATTCAAAACACAGCACGCTAAATGTGTTCTTACCATCCATGGAACAGAAGCAAACTGATGCGACACCCTGCCACGAGATTCGAACCCGTGTATGTGTAAATATAATAATAAATAATTCGTTCGAACAAAAAATATAAATGCATTCATAACGGTGCTCTGCGTGTGTACGCCGACCGTGACATGTGTGACGACTGCGGAGTTAAAAATGTATAAATCATATTTTGCTCGTGAATTTATCATGAGGGCACTCACTGAATACGCTTATAAGCAAAGTATGAAATTAATTTTACATAAAGGTACTTTGAATTTATTACGTGCCATTTTTAACATATTATTATGATTTATACAGTGGAATTGAAAGCTCATTGTTGATAATCGTATTTTGTAGTTTGAACTCATATTTTATTCCAGTTACATTCGATATTTTTGAAATTTATAAAATGATAATAACCTGTAACTATTGTTTTAAGATGGATTTGATGCTTTGTATCTCCGTAATATATTTTATATTTTTGAACATAAACAAATAACTACATTATTCATATACTAAAAATGTAAAAAAGAAAATCATTTTGTATTAATAACCACGCATTATTTTAGAAGAGATATTAGCCCAATTTAAAGTTAAATTAGAAATGGTGGTTAAACCCTTAAAATTATTTGAAAATGTTTTTCATTTTTTGTAATTAGACTGCTTTTTAACCTAAAACATTATGAAATCATGAATCATTAATCACCAGTATGATGATCAGTTTGAACAAATTTACATTGAAATCGAAATTCTTGATAATGTTTTCTGTCATAAAGTTCAAACAAAATGGATATTGATACGCACATAACAGATTAAATAAAAACTTCTTGAATCAATTCTCTAAATCTCCACGAACACAAAACCAATTTCAGATAAAATCGCTACAACCGCCCCAATCATGTACGGTCGGTTACCCAATGTCGATTCGGTACAATCATGTTATTTTTTGGTAATCATTTCAAACCCTTTTGTCGAAAAGACAAATACAAACACACGGTGTTTCAGTAATACGACATCATGAATAAATCCATGCGGAGTATTATGCAAATTCGGCCAGTTTTCATCCGAGACGACTACTGTTGCGAGTTACGACCTGGGAGTCGAAAGGGAAGTATATTCATTCGAACCAGTGACGTAGTTTTGTAAAAATATTCATATTAATCCATTATTAAATAACTTCCACTGATATGTAAAAAATCAGAACCAAAAATTTCAAACCTTACATGTTCTATAAAGAGCACATCCTTTCTGTCAAAGTGCTATATTAAAAACTTTTATAGAACTATTATTGCAATTGATAGGCAACACACTCCCATAAACGTATATGTTAATTAATGCTATACAATATTTTATCTCCGTTTTTACGCTTTAATGTATGTATCTATTATCGGAACATCACAAAACAGTTCGTCGAATTCTACTTTTTTTACAGAAATGGATACCTCCCAACTTTTGACAACGCAAGGATTTTGAAGCACACTGTATGGC